ACCATTCAACCATGTATGTGAATTTGGTATTCCTTTTCGAACTTCTATTTCTTCTATTACAGTGAGAGACGTAGAATATCCGTTATTTCCCTTTTTTCAAACTGTTTTGTAATGTTTTTACTTTCCAAAGATCTTTCCGAAATAACATCTCGAGGTAAGGTCTGCATAGTCCTTAAACACGTCTTAAATGAGCTTCTGACGAGTTTAACAATAACATACTCAGTGTAATCTCACAAGATGTGGTCTGAGAAGAGTAGAATGTACGGGACCGTATCTCTCTGAGAGAGTATTTCCAAAAGAACCCCAACTCAAGTAACAACAAACACTAACATATTGTAGTACTAGCCGAGAGTTTTGCTCAAAGACAAGTTTGCTAATAAGTCCAAAACCCTAAAATGGCAAGACGGCTTCTCATAGTTTGGACCATTACCTTTTTATTTTAAAGCTTAGTGCCATATTGTAGTACTATTTCTTGAGAAGTAAACAACATATCTAGTGTAATATTACATGTGGGATCTAGGAAGGGTAGAGTGTACGGATATCCAGACCTTATCCCTATTTCTTGTAAAGACGGTGCGTGTGTTCAAAACAACAACATCATACTCAATGAAATCTAAAAAGAATATATAGAGTAAAGACAAACTATATCTTACCCCATTGTGAGGTAGAGAAGCTATTTCCGAAATACACTAGGCGCGAGAAGAGGGTGCGTGTATAACAACAACAACAACAACATATTCAATATAATCTCAAAAGGGTATAGTATAGACAGATCTTACCCTACCTCATGAAAGATATAGTCTGTCTTTTAGAAAGATAAATAAGTTGTTTCTAAAAGACGCTCGGTGCGAGAGTAATCTCATCAGTGGAGTCTAGGAAGGTTAAAGTATAGGCATACCTTACTCTTATGATCCCACAAAAGATAAAGATGGGTGGTTATGTTTCCGAACGATCCTCGGCACAAACGAGAGTGCGTGTGTACAAGTACGACATGGGAAGTCTAAATTACCCCTTACTTCCATTATCCCACATCGATTATAAAACACAAATAGAGCCACTTTATAAGTCTAAATTACCCCTTACTTCCATTATCCCACATCGATTATAAAACACAAATAGAGCCACTTTATAAGCTCTCAACTAAATAACAAGTATGCTGAGCTTGGTAACTCAAGCTTGTAACTCAAGTGAGGGCATTAAGGTGATGTGAACAAAACTAAAACAAATGGTGAAAGTCTCATGTGGGTGTTATATGGACCAGCATAGATAGTGGCTTGTTGTTTAGCAGTAGGAAGAGTTTGGTTTAGAAGATGCTCATGTGTAGCACATACCTCTTGCTGTCTTCACAGAGCAGCGGCACTTCCTCTTGCTCTCTCAAAGACCACTTTGCTAACAAGTCCAAAATCCAATCCAAAATGTACTTCCCATAGTTTGGACCATCACCTTTTTATACGTTTTTGGATGCTACTCAGCTCTAAATTCCAGTTCATTCATAATTTTATGGTTTATGGAACTCTACAAGATGTGTTCGTCTTGTCAATTCCAATTAGGGTACGTTTTTGGAGGTAGTTCATGCATAATTTTATGGAACGTGTTCGTCTTGTTTATTCTAGGGTACGTTTTTGGAGGCTACTCAACCCTAAACCCTAGTTCATGCATATATAAAGGATATTATTTTCACTTTAAAAGACATCTCGAATATTCCGTAAACTCTTGGAATATTCATAAGGAGGTCAAAATATGTCAAGACTTTTCTTGATAATCAAATATAAAGAAGATCCACAAATTATTTCATGGAGATCAAGTCCAAACCGTCCTAATTCGAGAAGTATGTCACTACTAATGATCCTCGAATCACGAAAAAATCTTAAGAGAGAAGAAATTTGAAGGGATAAATAGATTTGTACGCGCAATGTTTTATATTTCTTTATATTTTATTTGTGACTGTAATTTATTCTCTATCACTTTAAAATTTGTCGCAAACATAATTGTTTAGCCGTTATTTTGGATCACTTATAAGCATGTCTTAGTTTTTTTGGAACATCTCCTCTATTTTTTCTTGAAAAAAAGAGAGCAACTTTCACATGTAACAAACATAAAAATCATATTTGTATGTTATAGCTATAGTTTGCGTAATTGCGCTCCATAGCAAATTTTATGTTTGCTATGGAGTTTTTGATTTGTATAATTCGCTACAAACATCCAATTTTATACAAATTGTTCAGTTTTGTATAAAATCATTTATACATTGTAATTTGTATAAAGATCTGTATTTGTATAATTATAAGTGTATAGGATAAAAATATATGTATTTGTATTTGTACATACATTTTTCTCTCGCTTTATACAAACACGAACGCATTTTATACATTTTATACCGAAATGTATAAAATGGCTAATTGTATACCGAAAATGGCTAATTGTATATCGAATCAGATGGCAAAAAAGAGGATGTTTGCTGCGAATTACAATTAAAATAAACTATGGCTATAATATTTAATTTGAATTAATAATTTGCTATTTCATACAATACTAGTAATTAAATTTCAGCGTACCAACTTGGACCTTATACTATATGAAAAAATCTCATAATCTCGTTATAGTTGTTGTTATATTATTTTGTTTCTTATTAGATGGTTGATATTAGCTTTGAATCTTAGATTCACGTCAGGAAAGTCTCACTTCAGGAGGTAAATGACTTTCTTGTTAAAGGCGATCTTATTCTTAAGATTCGAAATTGGGTTGATTTAGGTTAAATATATAGTCAAAATTGAATATATAGGTTAATGACAGAAAATGATAACAACATTTTTTTAATGCAAATACTACAAAATAATCAATAAATAGCAGACTGTGTATATAATAATAACATACCCAATGTAATCTACAAGTAGGGTCTGGAAGAGTAGAATATATGAAAAATTAAGAGAGGTGATTTCCGCAAGACCCTCAGAGCAAGAAGAAAGTGTGTGTATGTACAACAACACACTCAATGTAATCTTACATGTGGAGCCTCGAGAGGATGGAGTGTATGCATACCCATACCTTACGCCTACTTCCTGAGAGGTAAATAGACTATTTTTGAAATACTTGAATAACGTTAAATGATTTATCAATTTCTTTCCATTTGTATTTGTTGAATATTTCCATTCAATTTAAGTAGAGGTCAGAACGTAGGAACATAACTGTTTTTGCAAGACCCTCGGTGCGAGAAGAGAATATATAACAATGTAATCCAATAGGTGAAGTCCGAAAAAAGTTACTATACGCAAAAAAGTTACTTATTTTTTAGTAGAAAATGTTTTCCACCGTACCAAACACACCCTAACATATCAAAACATACCTGAATAAGTTACCTTTTCAAAAAAAAAAACATACCTGAACCATCACTTTTTGTAGTTTCACAACTCTAGCTATCTATTGTTCCTAAGTTTGCCTTCTCACATAATTTAGAAAAACATTATATTATATTATGATTAGCTGAACCTAAGAAAATCATTTTCTGATCCATTTTACTGAGTTCAACAAAAGGTGACCATTAAAAAGGGCTTTTTAACAGTCTCTTATTATAGTGAGTGTAGAATATATGTTGTTTTCCTTGTTTCAACTGTTTTGGAATGTTTTTACTTGAGCTAAAGATCTAACATCTCCACCTTGTAGGGGTAAGGTCTATGTAAACACCACCCTCTCCAAATGGATTATGAGATTACACTGAATATATTATTGTATAATGAGTGCGGAGTACCTTTATTTTGAATTGTTTTTGCTTATTAAGCATTCAGATGATCACATGCAAATGCTTGTCACAGAATAAACTTGAAATTGCAGTATTAGACTCTTATGCTTAAATCCAGTTTTGTTATTAGGGATTTAAGCGCAAAGCACAATTAAAGTATAGGCTTTAGTTTTTTTTTTAAAAAAACAAGCAATAAAGGGAAAAAACAGAAATATAATATCCATAATATTTTCCTTATAAACAACTAAAATACACTTATTTGCTGATTATACACATCTTAAATGAACCTTTGTCGAGTTTAACAACAAACATACTCAGTGTAATCCCACAAGATGTGGTCTGAGAAGAGTAGAGTATACGGGACCATATGGACCTTACAAAGATAGAGAGACTATTTCCGAAAGACCCCAGCTCAAGTAACGCAAATCAATGAACACATAGAAGGAAACAAATAATTAAGCATGTACAAGAGGAAGCATCACATGACATACAACCAACAACAAAGTCAATCTTCCAATAATTCTCATCTCACTAGTTATTCTGGTAGGTACTACCACCCTCCCAAGTTCTCACATACACCATTAACATTAAAAACCTGGATCCCATTAACTCTGAGCCCAAAACATGTAACCCACTATGTCTCTCTCATTCTATCATTATTCCCCATTTGACAATAACCTACTACAACTTGTAGTAAAAGCTTCAGCTGGTGGGCACACCTTCCACATCCTCCACATTTCTATTCATATATCTTTATCAAACACCATTTTATTGATTCATAATTCTTCCCTTTTTGTTTCTCACACATTATATACATGTACTATACACTATGCATATATATATATATATATATATATATATATTCCAGTCTTTTTTGTTCATTTCATATCAATGTTCTATTGAGAAAACCTTGAGGAGTTCTTCCCGCAAACTGCTTCTGGTTGAATTACAACTACTTTTTCGCAGACATTCACTTGCATCACGTCATCTTCAACCAAACCTCCACCCTAGAAGCCCATGGGATTCAATGATATGTGCTTGTGGGTCGGAGTGAATATTATAGACCAACATATCTGGTAGTTGACAATCGTTCAGACTTGGTAAAGGTTATCACAACACCTATAGTAGGACAAGAGGACTTGTTAGCTCTGGAGATTGACTTAGGCAAATCTCATATTGGAATAAGAGGACAAACATAGGGCCTCCTTTATAAGGCAGAATCATCAGGAATTCAACTGTTGAGAAGTCTTCGCAAAATCGCAAGGCTCCAAAGATTAGACCAGAACAGACAATATCTTGACAATTGAACTGAGCCATTGGGTTGATTTGATTACAATGGATGATTTTTGTTGTACTGGTAACTTCATGGTATTTGTTATTTTCTTGGCTTTACTGTTGCATAACAGCAGTGAAGCATTTGGGACATTCAGGTTTGATATACACCACAGGTATTCTGATCCAGTAAAAGGTATTTTAGACCTTCCCTGGTTGCCTAAAAAAGGTAGTATTCAATATTATTCAGCTTGGACACAACGTGATCGCCATATCAACAGGCACCGGCTTACCAGCACCGTTGATACTACTCCCAACAGTCGCCGTCTTACCAGCACCATTGATCCTATTCCACTACCGCTCACGTTCGCCGGAGGAGGAAACAAAACAGTCCTACTCAGTTCGTTGGGATTGTAGGTTCCTTCTCCTTCTCTATATTAGTACTGCAATCACCTATGTGTCAAAAGAACTCTGGAACTTCTGCTTATGATTATCTGTTTTTGTTCATTTTGGGATATCCAATAAAATTGGAACGGTACAGAGAAATTAGTATGACCTTTGTGCAAGTATGGCACGTGTCTGTTTTCAATTTGACCGAGGTTTACTTGTCTATGTAATTTGGCAATGGAAGACAAAGTTTTGTAAGAGAAAGAAGTCGAGGTGGATTCAGGATTTATAATCAGAGGATGCATCTATGCTGAGATAGTGGGACCGGTAGACATGCATCCACTGCTTACGTGTAGGGGATCCTGGGAAGAGGGGACCTGGTACATTAGTTACAGGCTCATCTGAACTCAATAGCTTTGGTTCGAACTCTATATATATAGTTGTTAAATTGCATTACCTGTAGTCATGCAGCAACCAAGTACGTTCTTCCTTCAGGACTAACTAAATGTGTTTGTGTGAGTTTCAGTTTGCATTATGCAAATGTGACAGTGGGCACACCTGGGCTATCATTTCTGGTGGCACTCGACACTGGCAGCGACTTGTTTTGGCTACCATGTAACTGCAACAACTGCGCTCACACACTCCTGACAGGTTCTGGAAGAGTATGTCAATCGAACTTTAGTTTTGTGCATTAACTGTATATAAAAGATTTTAAGCTTAAGTTAACCTATAACAACAAGATACTCTTACCTATCAAAAAATGATGACATACCTATAAAATAGGATAAAAACTGGCCATAGCCAGTTAAATTGCACTTGTTATTTGATAAATTTGCAATTAAGCTTGAGATCTAGTATCAAAGAAGAAACTGCGCGGACAATTTTGAGGAACCAGTTGGAATTTGAATAATAATGTTTAAAAATATCACAGAATTAAGTATGTGCAGAAGTGAGATTTTATGCACGTCATATAGGATTGAAAAAAGAGTGATTGAATGATCAATGAAGCGGGAGGATAGACAAGAGGTCTTGGGTTCAAAATCCCAATGGAGGTGTAGAACACTAAGAAATTTCCTCCCATTCTGCCAAGTCTTGGTCGGCAGAGCTATACCTATACTGGTGAGAGATAGGAGGTACCAGATGGAATAATCAAGGTGCGTGCAATTAGGCCGAACACCTCCATCATGAAAAAATATGGTTGAAATGAAGTTTTGGATCACCATTCATTGAAAAATTGAGGTGCTTACTAGCATTAGGTTTGTGTGCTACTGTACTACACCAAAGTTGGCTTCATGGACTAGATTTCCTTATTTATGTTTTTTCTTCCCTTATTTCTGTTTATGTCATTGCTTGATGACACTTATCATAATTGTTTACAATTTACATTTTTGGAACAGCCTACAGACCTTAACATTTACAGCCCGAATACATCATCAACAAACAAAATTGTTCCCTGCAATGGCACTCTATGTGGGCAAGGAAGACAATGTTCAGTGGCACAAAGTGCATGTGCTTATAGAGTTGCATATCTCTCCCATAATACCTCATCTTCTGGGGTACTGGTCGAAGACATCTTGCACTTACAAACAGATAGTTCTCAACAAAAGGCTTTTGAGGCACCAATTACATTGGGGTGAGTGTGTATTATTTCGTGTTTCTCTTTGGAGAATATTAGGGTAATAACTAACACAGGCCAGTGCAAGAGGAAGTGCAAGCTCAAGGATCAGATGCGGATCTAAGGGTTCAACTTTCCATCTCAAACTATGCATACATGTGCTAAAAGACATTTACGATGTATACACATTATGAAATCAAACTGATTATGAACTTACTGACTCTAAATTTTTTGTTTGCCTCTTCCTAAAATACCTGTGAAATCAACTAGTCGAGTGATAATTTCAGAAAGTAGTTTCGATTTCCCAAATTTGATAAAGAAGCATTGGGTTGTCTAATGCTTTTTCTTGTCCACTACAATCTAAATTTACTAGTAGTCCTATTTCAGGTGTGGAATGAAACAAACTGGTGCTTTTTTGAATGGTGCTGCTCCCAATGGTCTATTTGGACTCGGTATGGGCAATATATCTGTTCCTAGCGTTTTAGCCAGCAAAGGTCTTGCTGCGAATTCTTTTTCTCTGTGTTTTGGGGCTGACGGTATTGGAAGAATAGATTTTGGAGACAAAGGGAGTCTGGACCAAGGAGAGACACCATTCAATCTTGAACAGACACAGTAAGCATTCACCTTGATTCAAAGTATTTAGCATTTTGATTCTGTTTCAAGCTTGATTAAGATGTGGGAATACAATCTAAACATCTATATTTCCTTCTTTTCCCTCTCTAAATGCAGCCAAACTTATAACATTAGTCTGACGGGAATAACTGTGGGAAACAAGAATATTGATGTTGATTTCACAGCCATAGTTGACTCTGGCACCTCATTCACATACTTAAATGATCCTGCTTACAAAGTCATTACAGAGAATGTGAGTCGGGAGCAAACACTATTGCAACTTATTTCACTATTCAACTAAGCAATTATTTTCGACACGTAATACAAATCTATCACATATAAACACTAAAATTCTATCATATATGTCTGAAAAAAACACTAAAAATTCAATAAATATAAACCATAATTTCAAATGACGATTATTTCAGAGCTAAAACCTTAAACGTTGAACTCATCAAGCTTAAATCCTAGATGTGCCTTCGGTCAGGACTCAAGAGTTGAATGTATGGTCACTAATTGGAGATTTTGTTGTTTAATATTTGACAGCTAAATGTATTTAGTATATTTTGCAGTTTAATTCTCAGGCACAAGAGCTACGTATTCAGCCTATGGTCCAGGTTCCATTTGAGTACTGCTATGGGCTAAGGTAAATTCCTTCTCTTAATTCCCTATAAACTCTGAAGAAGTTAACACCATCTGTTGATACAGGGTAAATCAAACTTACTTTCAAATTCTTGATGTAAATTTGATGATGAAAGGTGGCAACCAGTTTTACCTTTTTGATCCAATTATAACATTGTCCCTTCCGGTAAGATAGTACTGCTCTTAGTATGTTAGAATTAGATCATACTTGTTTTCATTTTCTAATTTCTAATGACCCTGCTTAATCCTCAGGACGGTTCCACAGCATATTGTTTAGCTGTTGTCAAAAGTGGGGATGTCAATATCATTGGACGTGAGTATCTATTAACTAGTAATGAAATTCTACTTACTGCAACCAAGGATCTAAACTCTTACAAATAGCACGTGCCAAGAAATATTAATAAGTTTTAGTTTTCATCATTTTTTCTAATGATGGTGGTGTTTGGGCCAGCTTGAGCGTACTTTTCACTGGGTACCTGTTACCTCCCACTAGCATAGGTATCAGCTAACTCTACCCACCAAGACTTTGGCAAATGGGAAGAAATCACCAAGTGGCTTTTATCTCCACTAGGACTTAAGCCAGAGACCTGGTTTTCATCTTATATTATCTCCATTGGGACTTAAACTGAAAACCTAGTTTTCATCTTATATCTTGAGACTTCACATATTTTGTTTTAGAGATGAAACATACAACACTGATATGAGGACCCCTTTGCAGAAAACTTTATGACCGGCTATCAGGTAGTTTTTGACCGAGAAAAGATGGTTTTGGGATGGAAGCCGTCTGATTGTGAGTTTCTGTTTCCTTATTTAACATTAGAACCTTCTGTGTATGCAAAACCAGTTCAAGTCTAAAATGGAGTCCTTTTTCACAGGTTATGATTCTAAAGAATCCAAAAGTAAAACTATTCTCCCCATTAACAAGCAAAGGCCTACTGAAGGGTCTGGTCCTACCCGTGGGCTGCCAGAAGACACCAGAGAAAATGGAAATGATACCATTAGGTCGACACCGGATTTTACATCATCAACATCTGCGGGCAACTATGTAACAAAGAGCTTGACATTCTTTTGCCAACTTGTAGTGGTTCTGTTTTTTTTTTTTGAGAAAGGTAACTTGTATTATAACCAAAAGAATACATAAGGAGTATTCTAGTAATACTTACATCCAAAAGTTGCTAAAAGAAAAGAACTCCTATGGAGGTCATAAGAACTCTAAAATACTAGGAATATCCTCTGCATCTTGAGGATATTCATGTTTACACCAAAAAAAGAAAAGAACCATGCAGTTCAACTTCAAATTCTGCATAGAGCAGCTCTTGTTTTTAAACCATCTCTGGTTCCTCTCCATCCATATAGACCACCAAATGCAAGCAGGGACAATCTTCCATCTCTCTCTGTGTCCTGACTGATTCCCATCTCTGTTCCAGCAAGCTAGAGCTTCTTTGATGTTCCTTGGCATAGTCCAACTGATGCCCCTTAAGTTGATGAAAATCTGCCACAACTTCGCAACCTCTCTACAATGTAGAAAGAGATGATTTATTGTCTCGACCTCACATTCACAAAACCAACACCTGGAACAGATTTGCATGCCTCTTTTCATGAGGTTGTGTTGAGTGAGTGCAGCCTGATTGGCTAACAGCCAAGTGAAGCATGCTATCTTGAGTGGTATCTTGACTTTCCAAATCATCTTCCAAGGCCATCCACCTATATGAGTACCAGGTCTTTGTGAGCTTCTATAAGCCGAGCCAACTGAAAATCTGCCTTGCTCATCTGGATTCCAAAATAGATTGTCCTCATCTGTGTTTAGATCTTTGTACTGCCCTAGAATGTTGAGTAGCTCAACTATCATTTAGATGTCTTCTAAACCTTAGATCCCACCCTTGATTATCTCTCATTTCTCTGATCGTAGCCTCTTTTTGAAGGCTCATGTTGAACAAAATAGGGAACCTATTTCTCAAAGTCACCTTATCCACCCATTTGTCTTCCCAGAACAAAGTCCTTCCACCATTCCCTACCTTGATTTTGCATTTGTTAAAAAGTTTGATCCATAAATTTCTAATGGATCTCCATACTCCAGATCCATAGGGTTGTGTGGACAGGTTGGTGATCCACAAATTCTCCATACCAAACCTAGCCTTTATTGTTTCCTTCCAGAGAGCTTGTTCTTGTGAGGCAAATCTCCATAACCACTTCATAAGTAAGCTTTGATTCTGGATTTTCAGATTCCTTATCCCCAAACCTCCTTCCTTTTTGCTGAGAATGACTTGGTCCCACTTCACTAGATGGAATTTATGATTATTAGGATCACAATTTCCTTGCCACAAAAAATTCCTCCTAATTGCATCCATTCTATCAATCACATTTGCAGGCATATGGAAAACAGACATCATATATGTGGGTAGAGCATCTAGCACACTGTTGATGAGTGTGACTCTTCCTCCCAAGGACAAATATTGACTCTTCCAGTTCACCAGCTTCTTCTCACACTTTTCTAGAATGTTGTTCCAGATACCTTTTGACCTGCTCTTGTCACCCAAAGGCATGCCAAGGTATGTTGTGGGGAGATCCCTTATCTTCCCCCCTAGAATATTTGCAAGCATGTTTATCCTAGGCACCTCATTGACAGGAAAGATGAAGCTCTTTCTCCAATTGATGTGTAGGCCTGAGATGGCTTCAGAAAGGATCAGAATTACTCTCAAGTACTTTAGTTGAGAGCTGTCTGCATCACAAAATATCAATGTGTCATCAGCATACTGTAAGTGGGAGATGGCCAGACCTTGTCTGTTATTCATATTAGCATTGAATCCTCTTATCCATCCTCTTGTTTGGGCTGTTCTGAGCATGTCATTTAGGCCCTCCATCGCCAGGATAAAGAGGAAAGGAGATAAAGGATCTCCTTGTCTCAGTCCTCTCTCTGATGAGAAAAAACCAGAGGGGGCACCATTTATCAAAATAGAGAACTTCACAGTTGTAGTGCAAAACTTAATCCATTTTAGCCATTTTCCTCCAAAGCCCATTGTTTTCCAAAGACTTCCAGAGGAAGCCCCTATTCAGGTGGTCGTAGGCTTTTTCAATATCCAATTTGCATAAAATGCCTGGCACCTTACTGTTCTTTCTCTCCTCCACACATTCACTTGCAATCAAAATTGCATCCATGATCTGCCTACCTTTTATGAAGGCCATTTGTTGGGCATCCACCAGATTATAGACCACTTTCTTAAGTCTTTCGGTTAAAACTTTTGAAATGATCTTATATATGCTCCCTATTATTTGATTATTTGATGATTATTTCTTCGTAAGTTCTTTATTCTTGTTTATAGTGAGCTCTGTGTAAGTGGCGCTATAGTAACTTGAAAGAGTAAAAAACACACCATTTTTTCCCATACTGCAATGTTGTTCTGTGATTTGTTTTTGTCAACAATATGGAAACAGACGATAGAGTGAAATAGTTCATGCGACTTGAGTACTCACTCGTAGTCTCGTTCATAGGAAGCTGAAAGGTCTCCTTTTGTACAAAAACTGGCACCAAGCAGCATCATTCCCTTGATTTAACGGTGATGTTTCCCACTTTATTAGCTAATGCATAGGAAGAGCTAAGATCAGACCTAGAGCCTGTTTGGATTAGCTTATTTTATGCATTTTTAAGTCAAAATAGTTTTTAAGCACTTTTGAAGTGTTTGGATAAATTTAAAAAGTGCTTATAAGCACTTGGTTTTAAGCTTAAATGATAAAAATAAGTCTAAAGTCAATCCAAACAGGCTCCTAGTATGGAAGGAAAATAGAATATGGTATTCCTAGTACTTACTGTGTACTTCTTCAAACACCAACTTAATTTGCATGAGGTTTTAGAGTTCCAATGCCAAATCTACAGATTTCACTTGATAAGCAGCTACTTTAAAGGCAATACCTCTTCCCTCTCTATATTGTATCTATTATCCCGATTCCAAGGTATATCAAAATTTGGAAGGCTGGGATTCAGGATCTTGAAATTCTAGTTAAAACACTAACAGTGAAGAAGCCAAAGATTAACTGATGGCATCCCACTAATTGCTCCTTCTGTAAGTATTCTAAGGCCAAGATACAGCAACTCAACTATGTTTCGGAATGCAACATTAGAACTAGGTTTCCTTATTTACATGTAAACTCTAGAAAACACTGATATTATGCTTACTAATTTAAAACAGAAACTAGTAACAGTAAATGAAGTTTAAGTCATGTTATCCAAATGCCAGGGTGTTTGTGTTTCGTGAATTCGAGGCATACCATTAATCAAAATGTATAAATCACGAGACTTTATACAGTAATATGTTACGATTCACGCTTATGGGAAAACACAATCTATGCCCAAGTGTAATAAGCATGGATGATTGAAATGCAAAAAATTTGCGCAAAACTACCTCATGAAAAGAAGAGAAGAAAATAAGCTACTTCCAGGTCTTACTAATCAAAGAGTAGCACTTCTTATAAGCCACATAGTGAAGTACAGATTGCCACAACTAAGACTGCAGCGAGGAGCAGGTTGACATAATAAAGAGGTTCAACTGACGTAACCTGACATAATTCTCTTTAACATCTTCCATCAGCTTATGAACTCCGTTTGTCAATGAATTGTGTTAAGAACTACCTCTTTGATCATCAGTTCAATTACCAGGCAAATCAACAGAGCCATCAGAATGTGATGCATCATCAGTCTCGATAATCTTGCCATCCGTTGGTACAAGACGAGGAATCCCATCGACTATCTAATTGAACACAAGGAGACTCATAAGCAAATCACGACTTAAGACACCAGCAAAATATAAATCATGAAGTCAAATAAAAAAACCTTCAGTTGATCTGACACAAATGTTCTCCTAATTTCCTTCGTTTGTACTGACGATATTTTTATGGAAAATGTTCTTGAATTAACATTTTTAATTATTTGTCATGAAATAACTTTCTACAAAAAGTGAAGGAAAGTTATGTCCCAAGATTTTAAACTCTTTATACTCCCTCCATTTCAGTTTGTGGTATAGTAAAGATAGTCTAAACAACTTACTTTATACTCCCTCCATTTCCATTTGTTTGTCTTACTTTCTTTTTTAGTTTGTTACAAAAAGAATGTCTGGCACCTCTTTAACTTTCTCCATATATGTTTAAATCCACAAGATTAAAGAGCATTTCAATACATTCTAAGTATTTTTAATTTAAAAACACAAGATTCAAAAGTCTTAGTATTTATTTTATTGAACTACGTGTCAAGTCAAAAACAAACAAATAAATTGAAATGGAGGAAGTAATATAATAAACTTATTATTCAGATTACTGGTGCTTGACATTATGAAACGATACAATCTATCTAGACATTTGTATACATCAAATCAATACAATATAATACATTATGATATGATAGATAGCAATTAGCAACCATCAGTAAACATTATTCCCATTGACAAAGTGGAAATAAAACTCAATTGTCCAAAAAAAAAAAAATCACTCACCGGATATGAAACACCAATTGCATCACTGATTAGAGAATTCGTCTTCTCGCAAAGCCTTAAACGAAAGAAAAAAAAATTCTGAGTTGAGAAAGAAAAATAATTTCAAATTTAAGTAAAAAAATTCAGACCTCAAAGGTTGCTTAGAAAGTGGACAGACAAGAATTTCGAGGAGCTTCTTGTTAATCCCATCTTTCAGAAGTATTCTTCCAAATTTCACCATTTTTATCCAATTTGATTCTCAACAATCTAGGGATTTGAAATGATGGGTTAACGGGTCAAAAAAAAACAAATCAGCTCAATTTTGATTTCTTAACTCTTGCCCCCACACCTACCTATGTTATGGAAATTTATCACCTTTATTTTAATTTGTTTAATTTATTCTTCCACTTAAAAATTAACTCAACTTTACTTTTTTTTGGTATTTTACACGGCGTTAGATATCTGTATTACCCGATTAGATTTGTACTCACACAGTTCATCTCCCAACACAAAATTACTTGATTAGATAACTTTTTTTTTTGTTACATAATGCATTGCATCTCATTAGGCCATTTACGTATTATAGGACCTATTTAAAGGGGTTTCAATAAAAAAAATTATTCTTAAGGATTCAAATTCTGAATATTCTCTAGTTATGGGTAGAAAGATACTAATCCATCACTTGACAAGTAAGATTGGTAGTGAGAGATTTTTATTACACAAGAAATTTAAATGCTTTTAGAAAAATGGGATTAACATTATTATATTTAAGTGTTCCAAAAAATAAATATAGACTATACTCCTACCTTTGCGGAATAGAAAGAACTATTTTCAATAAACCCTTAACTAAAATAATCTTCTTTTTTTCATAAAGGGAGAGGGGTGCACAGACCTATAGAAAAACAACTTTTGTTTCACAAGTAGCATTTCGCATTAATTGTGTCCTTCGCACCCTTAAACACATTCATCTTCACCGCCACCCTACACAGTACACACCCACCTCACCTCCCAAAAGAATTATCTAAAAACTATATACAAATGATTTTAAGCACAATTTACCTTTTCTTTTTTTTCTTACTGTTTGGGTTCTTAAAATTCCTCCAGTCTTAAAAACTTAAAGCCCCTTTTAGGGGTTTCTAAGCAAAGAAACAATGCTACCAATCTGTTTTCTTTCAACAAACAATAATGATTTCCAAAGAGTTGTGTAACAAGAAGGACCAGCATACACAAAAACAACAATCTACTGAACTTGAAAAATGAATCTGTACAAAAGCTATCCGATTGAACCTCGGATAGCATTATACCCCCAAGTATAGAATCTGACCATTCAATGTGCACGAACTATATAAGGTTTACTGTCGTAGGGGGTATGAAAAGAAGACAACCCCGTAATCAAGAAAATGAATGACTACTACAAATCAAGAAAGTACATAACAACTCTACACAGCACGTGTGCTGGTCACCGAGAGGCATTTCCTCTTGGATCGTGACATGAAAGACATTGGATGAGTGAAGCATATACATGGGTTGGGAGTGATGCGAATGCAAACCAAGACTACCTCTCAGCCTTTCCTACCACTATTAAGTATTCTATGAAGATGGAAACCTTCACCCTGATCCCCATTAAACGTTCTCTTCGCCAAGAAGCAAGCACTTAACTGCCTGAGTAGCCTGTCAAGACGTGAATGTAAGCACTCTCTTGAATCTTTCACGCTAGGATTCGTTGACAATACCATTGCATTGACAGCATCAGCCACAATTTCTCGCTGTGAATCTCCTAGAAGATACCCAACAGAGGATTTCTGTGGTTGTTCATATGCCAGTAGAGCAGCACAGTCCTATGATGATATAGACAAAGAGAAACAGTAAGAACAAATATTTACTCAAGATAACATTAGATGCAAAGATGTAATATGTCTAGCTTAAACATTCCCTGCATTGCAAAATTAACACATTTTATGGTAAGAGTAACTATTGAGCTTCTGGATCGTGAAAAGAAGACGGTGCTGGACAGTACAAAGCAAGGCAAAGAAGACTTTGTTGGAATATTGGTAGGACACGTACTAGTAGTTATATAATCCGCAATAAACGTAGGAAACATGATAGCTTCTTTCCCTCTCAAAGGAGACTTGGAGAAGGAGATCCTTCGTCACCTTTTTATTTCCTTATTGTTATGGAATGGAAGGGCTCAACGGGATGATAAAGCTTGTCAATCAACGAGGATGGGTAAGGAGGTTCAAATAGTTCAAATAATAGTGGTAGTATGGAACTATGAAATTTACTTTATGTGGATGCTTCTTTGGTGTTATGTGATACTAAGTTGGAGCAATTAAGGCACCTAAAGCTTAATCTTAACTGTTTTTGAAGGTGTGTCTAGACAACATGTAAAGTGGAAGAAGAACCTATCATTTTCAGTAAATGAGATGACTGGAATTCAAGTGCTGGCAGGTATACTTGGTTGAGAGATTGGTTCCCAACCAACAAACTATTTGGGGTATGCCATCTGAAATTAAGTTATATATTATATCTATGATATTCTAGAATAATCATACAGAACCTAACAAAGGAAATTTTGAAATCTTTTCTGAATTTTTTTTATTTTTTTTTGGATGACAAGGGAAACCCGCAGCCACTACCCTTTGGGTGCGCACAGGGTAAAACCCCAGCTCCTATGCAATAGCTCGCAAACCACATAGGAGAGGTAACCCGCACTAGGCAAGCCTGGTGCGACGATCTCGACCCAGAAGCAAACTTCTTGCTTTCGCTAGCAAGGGGTTTCGAACTTGAGACCTCCAACATGGAAGTCCCAAGCCCAAACCACTGGGCCACCCCGAAGGGTTCCTTTTCTGAATATATTTGAGGTGAGCTGGGTAATGGTGATGACTGTGAATGAACTCTTTTGCTGCTGGTTGGATAGAGGTATAGGAAAGGACTGAGGAAACTGCTGATAACAGTCCCTGCTTGTGTGCTGGATCATATGGAAGGAGAAAACCTAAAGATGTTTTTGACGAAAATTTTACTGCTCTACATAGTTTGAAATTAGAAGTGTACTTCTGAAATCTCCATGATGTAATATACAAATTCTATGAGGATAAGATAACAGAATCCATTAGCTCAGTACTACAATGAACAGATTTATGCAAATGGGAAAACATTGTATACCCTTTTTCACAATGTCCAACACATGTTAGTGAGGATGCTCCTATTAATACAACGCTAATCAGTAAACGCAGCCATAAAAGGTTAACAGAATTTCCTGCAGTACCTTGACCAAGTCATCATAGTCTCCCAACTTATAGAATTTTTCAAATTCAGTCCTGCCATATAACACAGCTTCTTCAAGCTTTCCAACCTACAGATAGCACATAAGACTTCAGATTCTATCCTATTTATATGACTACACGGCACCATAGAGCACTAATGAACAGAAGATTAGCCAACAACTGACATTCTTATACAATCCCAGAAAAGTGGAGGAATAAGATAATTCGAGGATGCATCTAAACAATGTCAAAGGAAGCACCAGAATGTTCATTTCTTTGTGGCCTCATTGCCTTTTTTTGCCACATACTTATGAGCTTTCTTTCTTTTTCATGCACCCACCACCGTTTTACTCTCTACTTGAACTTTTGTTTCCTGCCTGATCTCTAGCATGAACCTACATTCTTCTCAATATGATTTCAAACTAAAAAAAAAAGATTTGAATTTTCACCAAGAAGTCGGAAAAATTAAACCATTTGCTTAGGGGTTGCTGCAGTCATTTGTCCTGTGGCTACAGGTTCTATACAGAGAGAGAAAAATGAAGCAGCAGAACCATGTGCAAAAACAACTTACCCGTACTAGCTCAATAAAATTTTGACAGTGAAGCAGAAAGCATATAGCTGATGTGCCATCCTAAAAAGCATAGAGCAACTTATCAGGAAAAGAAAAGTGAGTCAGAATAGAACAAGTTTTTTGTCACATAGTGGACAGAAGAATGGAATACTAGTTCATCGTGACTCAAGCTAACTAGCGAGCAAACTGAGACTTATTGAAAAGCTAAATGTCAACCATAGAATTAGAGTGCCATATATATCTGCAAAAGATTTCCCTTCAACTTTAAACTACTTTCATTGAAGGCTATGGAAGAAAGAAGAGGAAAAACATCAGGAAACAATACGTAATAAGCTTTAATGACAGCAACTTCAAATTTCTCTAATTTGAGTTATTCTTTGGTATTAAAATGAAGCTGTTTATTTGAGAAGATTTGATAGAGGTGTATTGAAGTTTAAAACGTTTAGCACTTGATCGAATTGCTAATAACTAGCAACAACAACAACAATTCTAAGTTTTGACGCTCTATAATTGATTTTCAAACTATTGTAGTGTAATTCAAACTATAGATTTTCAAACTATTAGTGTAATCCCACAAGTGGGGTATGGGGAGGGTGGTGTGTATGCACCTTACCCCGACCTCGTGAAGGTAGAGAGGTTGTTTCCGATAGATAAATACAAAGAAGAAAATAACAAAATGATGAAAGCAAGAACATCTTAGAAAATTTCTACAGCATCCTCTCTTATAAGGAATAATTGTTCATAAGAAAATTGTGATATATCACATAATTTATTTATACATTCCAGTTTTAGGTGTTAAAGTGATGTGTTTTTAACTTAAAACTCATATAGCTTACTGATACAAGTACCATGTGATCCACACATTCAAATAGCTTGATTGATAATATATGCAATTATTTAAGTAACTATATTTCGAAAGTAGCTTGATTGATAATTTATACAATTTTTTAAGTAACTTTATTTTGAAAGTAGTTAAATTAAGACAAGCTTCGGTAAGGAATTTTATTTGGGGGTGAGGAAGGGGAAATGGGGGAGAGGATTACAATGTGGGGAATCGAACCCTCACCAACAAGGTGGGAGTTCAGGTAGCCAACCAACTAAGCTACTAAGATTCCCCAAGCTTCGGTAATGTAGTAGTTCTTTTTCTTCCTTTTCTTAAGCATAAAGAAATTCTTGTGAATGTTCCTCTAAATAGTTCAGCACAACAGAGATAATAGGTACTATATATTTACATTTCTGGAGAATTCCTTAATTAATAATTTTTGCAAGTGTCCTAATTTTTCTTGTGATATTGAAGAAACAATCTGGAGTAATAAACAAAACAAACAAACAAAAAAGGGAAATTCCATATCCCACATGTACATCTTATGTATATACACAACATTAGATAGGAATAAGTTGACTGCCAAACATATATATCTATTAAAGTAATGTCAAGAAACAAAAGAAGGTAAGATTTTTTTCTCAAAACAAAAGAAGGTAAGATTTGAGAAAAATAGAACTAAAGTAGAAAGTAGAAAACAAAGAGCATGAATTGTGTATAGATACTTAAGGATGCAAAATTATACATCAATACACATCAAGTATGGAACTTCAACAGCATCTTGTGCAAGAAGGTCAAGGGAGGTGAATGAAGTTGCAATAGGAGTTATATGATGTTTGACAATATCAGTCAACAGAAAATTACCTGGACTATCTGTGGATACAACTCTCTTAGTTTACCAAAGGCATCACCAATTTGACCGCTCCGAATTAGCTGTTTAAACAACAAAGACATTCCTATAAGTATCATTTCTACGTCAGCAAAATGACAATTTACATATAGCAGGTTGAAGGGGTTAAAAAGTCAACAGATGGAAATGCTATAATGAACTTTTTTTGGACTGCACTCGGGGAGGAGAGTTAATTACATTGTTTTGTGCAGATCTGAAACCAACCAAAACTAGTATTTAGCAAGAAGAGAACAATAAAGGAAGGTAAAAGTTACTGGTTGTTCGTCAACTAACCCGTCCAGCAGAATGGAAGTTTTGGATACTATATCTTACCAGAGACTACATTTATGTGTTAACTTTGCTTTGTCAAAGAGAAAATACCTCCAATCTTTTAATATGGTAAACCCCTGCTTTACTCCCGGATAATTCAAACACTCAATCTTATGGTCAGATGTGTAGGGTTTCTTCCACTAAGATATTCCTTCACTTGGTAAAAATCTTTAAACTGAGAGCCCATTTGGATTGGCTTAAAAAAATTAGCCTTTAAGTCAAACATATATGACTTCTAAGTCACAAAATAAAATGTAGGGGGAGACCTACTTTTGGTTTTTAACTTTTTTCAAATCATCTTAAACTTATTTTAAGTTATTTATAACCTTGTCAAACACTTTCAAGAGCTAAAAATAACTTAGAGGTAGGCTTGACCAACTTTTAAGCCAATCCAAACAGGCTCTGAACAAACACTACCCTTGATCTCAGCCAAAAGGCTGAGTAAAGATATTCCTTCACTTGTCAATAGTCTTAAAACTCTAATGTGTACGAAAGCTTCCATTACTGATACGTATATATCTTTTTTATATATATATTTTCTTCAACCTTATAGATTTTTTCTTACAAGGGATTGAAGGAAAGACCATCTGAAATATCCTCCAAAAGTTAAACTAATGTTCCATCAAGATATTTGAAGTGGACAAAAGGGCATAGATCAAAAGATTTCACATTTGGATCACTTAAAAGAGAGAAAGGAAGCTATTTGCAGGGAATCATCCTCAATAGCACTACTAAGTGACGAGTAACCAAAAATTCATTGAATATCAAAATTCCAGACTGAACTCACGACTGAAAAATTAGACACTGATATCACCTAATATTGTCTCCATCTTTTCTAATTCATAGCTCATCACCTTGCTCAAAGCTTATATAATTCTTCTCTTATCCACTTCCATTCAGAACAAGCACCTGTATATTCTTTCACCAGATGACTTTCTTTGTCTTGACAAACTGTTCAGTTAGTTATTTCCACTTCCATCAAATATTGAAATCAGTTAATAGCAAGAAAGCAGCAGAAAAGAGGGAAAATTTGCATCCTTTCTAGAATAGTTTTTTTCTTAGGAACCATGTGACAAAAGGGAAAGCAAGAGGAGAGTTGAACAATATCCAGTCCTTCATGTTTAATAAAAGCACAAGAGAAGGGATAAGATATACACAACATAGAACATCTTTTCACCAGCCAACAGAGCTTCTCTCACACTATACAAAGAGCACTCTTATTTACCTGTTTAATTTTCTACCCGCCCCAAATAATAACTAATCCCACCCAATTTGTCTTTCTTCCCCCCTCTTTCCATTATATATTTTTCGTGGTTTCTTTTACAAGGGGTAAGAAACAGTAGAGGGGGAAATAAAAGAGGTGAAAGATCGATCAAATTCTCTCAATCCAGCCACTGAAAAAAGGGAAAAGAAAGTGGTTGTGCAGGCACCGACAGCAACTAAAACCAAGTGACTAATGTGTACATCATGGTATCACCCATTAACATTATTTATCATGGTAGAAAAAAGATGCTTCCACATTTCATACCTGACGAAGAACCTTTCTCTGATTTAATGAATACACACTGATGTCCTCTGCAAAGCCATTTTCTTGAACAAAAGAGATGGGTGGAAGAGTACTTCTACTTTCAACATCAAACGTTTTCAGTGTATCTTCATATCCATAATGTTGTAAATATGCGCGAACAATTCTGTTAAATGAAAACACGTTAAGAAATAGAAATGCATTTCCAACAGTAGAGGCATGCAATGTGTAGAAAAAAACTAACATTTGTAACATAAGTGTTTTAATTACTCTGCTAATTCAACATAGTCTGAACACTTCACCGCTCCATTTCTTTCAGGTCAGAATTAAGATTTCCAGTAAGGTAAAAATAACTCAAATCTACTTAATAGATCACCCTCCTGGGAATCCACATCGTGAATTATTATTTTTTGAGAAAGGTAACATTTACTTCTATATATCCACAGGTATACTACATCAAAGTGTAGTTCCCCTCCAAAAATTTATACTTACAACAGCCCTAAGATCTTTTAGTTACAGCCAGTCAATAACATTAGAAACATCTTCAGAATTTCCTATTACTACTTGCTTACACCAAAAGTAATAAAGACCTAGGCAATTTATCTTTATCTTCTGAATATTGTTGTTCTTTCCTTCAAAACATCTTTGATTCCTTTCATTCCAAATTGTCCACCAAATGCATGCTGGGACAATCCTCCATCTCTCCTCCTTTTTTCCTGCATTTCCATCACTATTCCAGCATTTTAGAACTTCTGTGATTCTCCCTGGTTTTGTCCACTTGATCGTCCTCTTGTGAATGAACATCTGCCATAATTGATCTGTCCATTTGCAGTGTAAAAAGAGATGGTTGACTGTCTCCACCTGTTCTTCGCATAAATAACATCTAGAGCAAACGTTGTGTTTCCTCTTGTTCAAGTTTTCATGTGTCAAGACTTCCTCCTTTGCCAAAAGCCATGTGAAATAATTCACCTTGTATGGCACACTCACCCGTGAATATTAAAAGGCACACTCACCCGATATCTGGAAGACTCTAATGTAGCTCACCAAAGATGTACTACCAGTCTAGCACTATTTCTTTCATTATCTTTGATTTTGACTATCAAAAGAAATTATGACTTTGGTGTTTCAATTATCGAAAATTATTTGTGATGCCCGATTAAGCACATTTAAATATATAGTCCTGTGAGAAATATATGAAAAGAATATTATTGAATTGTTGTCTCTAACATTATTACAGAGACCTTATTTATAGACATTACAATAGACTCCTTTCCAACTAGAACACCACAATACAATCTTTTTCTAAGTAGGACACTATATACTATTCCTATTCCTATTACCATTCCTATTCCTATTCTAAGTAGGATTATATATACCTATTACAATTCCAACACTCCCCCTCAAGCTAGTGCATACTAATCATATGTATCTAGATTGTTACAAATGTAATAAATAAGAGGACCGATGAGGAGCTTGGTGAGATATCTGCAAGTTGATCACTTGACTTCACAAAATTGACAGTCAATCTCAATGTGTTTAGTCTTCTCATGAAATACAGAATTCGATGCATAATGTCAGTCAATCTCAATGTGCTTGGTTTCTCATGAAATACTGAATTTAATGCATAATGTCAATAAAACACAGAGCAATAAAAGTACAGTGTAAGGTTGTTTGACTTACGTAATCGACATACAAGGCTACTAAACTCCCCTGAACAACAAAATTAGGTGGTTGCTCCAAGTAGACTTCTTCACAATGCATCGGTCGCCGGAAAGTGCTCAAAATCTAGTATAAAGTATATGGATCATGTTGGAATCAATAGATGAGTCGATACTAAACAAGAAAGTCACCGAAAAATTGGTCGAAACATGCTCATACACTGGAGTATTAGATTTGTTGGTTCAAAGTGGTCACAATCTAAGAAATAAAATTATGTGTAGGGTCGGAATGATGGCACGACCCAACTAGAAAAATAGAAATTATATAGGGAAGGTCGAATTGATGGCACAACCCTATTGAAAAAGAGAAATAATATGGCTAGGGTCGGAATGATGGCAGAACCCTACTGAAAAGAGAATTTATATGGTAGGGTCGAATGATGGCACAACCCTATGCAAATCAGATTTGAGGAGTCACCGAAAAGACGAATGGAACTATGCAAATCAAATCAAGGAGTCGCCGAAAAGACACACGATGCTATGCAACTTAGCTATGAGAAAGTAGTTCGAAAAATTCCACGCTACTACGCAAATTAAATATGAAAAGTAGTCTGAAGAGATGCACGGTGCTACGCCAATCAGATATAAAAAAAGTAGTCACCAGTAGGATGGCACGGTGCTACACATATAGGATATGAAAAAGTAGTCACCCGAATGATGGCATGGTGTTACACAAATCAGATATGAAAAAGTAGTCACCGGAATGATGGCACGGTGCTACACAAATTAATTATGAAAAAGTAGTCACTGGAAAGATGGCACGGTGCTACACAAATTAAATATGAAAACGTAGTCACCGAAAAGATGGCACGGTACTACAACTTTTACTAACATAGTCATTGGCCAGACGGACGGCATATATAGGTAATAGCCGCCCGCCGGCAGCGAAAGCTCTTTGATTGTTTACCAAGATCGTAGAGGCTCTGATACCATGTGAGAAATTTATGAAAAGAATATTACTGAATTGTTGTCTCTAACATTATTAGTGAGAGACCCTATTTATAGACATTACAATAGGCTCCTTTTCCAACTAGGACACTACAATACAATCCTTTTCGAAGTAGGACACTATATACTATTCCTATTCCTATTACCATTCCTATTCCTATTCTAAGTAGGATTATATATACCTATTACAATTCTAGCAAGTCCCATCTTCAAAAATTCCCAAAAATGTATTGGTCAAACCATGTGGTTAATCTAAATGATCTGTTGAACCATGGAGGCTTAACTTTTCTCTCAAAAATGACAATCCTGACCTAATACAATTTTGAATATGAACTGATACATTCCTTCTCTAAATCTCATGCCTCACAACATAACTAATACCTGCTCCAGATAAATGCTCTAACAATAATGAACAATGTCTTTTGAGCATTTTTTCTTCTTTTTTTAAAGGTATGTTTCTCTGGAGCATTATTATTACCTTTTATATAGTTTATTAGAGAATTTTACAATAATTTTAAAAAAGGGTAATCACCTTTGGATTGTTGGGTATATTTACTTGAAGTCTGAACCTACAGGAGGCCACGTCTTAAACTCATTCAGCCTCATATCTTACCAAAACCCTATGAGGACAATAACTGGATATCTGATACAGTAAAGACACTGTTGCAAAGTACAGATGTTCTATATGCATCTATAGACTCAGCATAATATGTTTATAGCGCATATGATCAGCATTCTACTTTTTCTTCAATGTGTTTTAAGACTTCGTTATCTACCCTTATCTTCAAACCTAAATTGAGACAATACAAAAATCATGCACCCCTTTTGTCTGGAAGAAAATAGATATAGTAACTTCAATGAGCTTCATTCATTGTCCTACCTTTTTTTCGGTCCAACTTGAGCACACCTCGACTATTCCACCTGGTACATGCTACATTCCATCAAATGCAAGTACCGGGCATCTTTGACCAGTGACCACCAAGGCTTAGACAGCTGGAAAATCTCACTTCGTGGTTATTTACTCCACCAAGACATGATTCTAAGACTTCATGGTTCTCCCCCACTTCATTGACCATTAAGTACACCCTAGGCCACTTTGTCAATCCATGCTAAAATGTTATCCACTTCCCTTGGATCAAAACCTCTTTCTCTTCACTGTTTATTACTTGCTGAATATTATACTAGATAGAAAGTATTCTAACACTCTGCTTTATTCTTATTAAGTTCTAAAATTCAGCAAAATATTATATTTACTAATAGGACCCCTTCTCTTTATTTAAAAATTATAGTTGTAGCAATCAGACGGATGGAGTACTTACCCATAACTGGCATTCTGAGGTATAGACAATTTTTCAATAGTTGAATGCTGCTTTGCCCTTTCCTGCGCTTCATATGCCTAAACAAAGAAAGCAAAAACCACAGTGGATTAATACTTAAATTATGCTTACATGCTTTTATCCCCTGATTTCTGTAATAGTGCTTTCAATTTGTTTCCTGTAACACAGACCAGCAACTGTATTTCAACTAACAATTGATAGACATATCTTATGAATCAGCAGCAATGAACGGACAATCAAGAGAAGTTGTCACAGACCATAACCTACCCAAGGCAGAAAGATGAGCGTACAAACATGCATTTGTCATATTTAAGGACTGATACATAGTAGTAACAATCAGCCTCTACTGTCTGTTTGAGATTGACTTCAAAATGGAAGCACGCAGCAATGCAGCATCACAAGCATAATTAATAGGAGAGGAGACCAACAACAGCCCCACCCAGAGAAGGTAAAAAGCCCAATTACATGGCAAAGCAAAGGAGAACTATTCAACTAAATAAAAAAAGAAAGATCTTTACCTTAAGATCAAAAACAAATGGATGCTTCCCAAAGTTGACAGTGACCCTGTGATAGTAAAATCAACAAATAACTGCAAGAAGTCAGACATGCTAGATTTGATGATCCATACTACTAAGTCAGAGTTAGTGTACACTAGCCATGGATCAGCAGCTATTGCTAATCAACCTAGAACTATTTATAGAACTACAGTTTTTTTTCTTTTTGACAAATCATATTTCACTATTATATGTGTATAGCAAAGGAAGTTATGCACAAGTAGTCAAATACACACACTAAGCAACTATCTCTGCAACAGGAAATTTCCTATTTACACCAAACGAATAAAATACAGAGGACCTTTAACGGTTACCAGAGTTCGAATAGCAAGGTAAACTCCACAAATTCAAGAACTCGTGGACATTCTTTCTTGATGCTTTATTGTAAAGCATGATTTGGCTGTTGTGAGAATTAGATGGTATGAATTTGTGGATAGTCTGTTCTCAGTAGAGTAGTGTCAGATCACTCACCTCTATTGTTACAGTGTGGAGATTGGGCAATCAAACTCATATTTCAAGTTTGAAAACTGGTGCCTTCATACAGAGGGGTTCAATGCTAAGGTCAGGGATTGGTGAGAGTCTTTTAATTGCACTGGCAGGCCTGATTATGTTCTAATGGCAAAGTTAAAGGCCCCAAAGGGAAAGCTGAAAGAATGGAGCAAAACCACTCGAGGAAATCTGAAAATGCAAAAGCCAATGCGTTGAATCAACTGGATGATCTGGAAGAGATACAAGAACAGAGATCTCCTGTGGAAGGGTAAATAGCTTCTACGTTGGCATTGACTATGAAGTTTGAGGACATGGCCAAGCATGAAGAGATAGATTGGAGACAGAGATCCAGAGCCTTGTGGCTTAAGTAGGGAGATAGAAACACAAGTATTTTCCATAGAACAGCAAACCAACATAGAAGAGTCAACACCATTGATAAATTGAAAGTCAATGGAGTTGAGATTACCGAACCTGAAGAAATTAAGAAAGAAATTGTTGAATTCTATGAGAGGTTATATACACAATCAGGAGAGTGGAGACTACTGTTAGACATGAGAGGTTGCCCCAGAATTGATGTAATAGATAGCAGCTTCTTGGAGGCATCTTTTGAAGCTGAGAAAATACTAGAGTCTAGAGAGTATCAAAGCATGTGCAGGGGACAAAGCCCCTAGACCAGATGGCTATACAATGGCTTTCTTCAGTCATTGTTGGGACATAATCAGACATTAGTTGGTAGCCGTTGTCCAAAACTTCCATGCTAGAGGATGTTTTGAGAAGAGCATTAATGCCACCTTTGTCGCACTTATTCCTAAAAAATGGGGGTAATTGAACTGAATGATTTCAGACCCTCTAGTTGGGGGAGTGTACAAGATCATCTCAAAACTTTTGGCATAAAGATTGAAAAAAGTCATTCACAAACTTGTTGACAACAGATGGCTTTTATTAAGGGGAGACAGATTATGGATGCACTGGTGATAGCAAATGAACTGGTGGATCAAGAGTGAAGAGCAAACAGCCAGGCATACTATGTAAAGTGTAAACTAGACAGAAGATGGGTTTTTGGGTCTAAATGGATAAGGTGGATCAAATATTGTATCAGTACAGTCAAATTTTAAGTTCTTATTACTTGAAGTCCCACTGGTTTTTTCCCTTCTCAAAGGGGTTTGAGGCAGGGGGGTCCACTCTCACCTTTCTTGTTCATTCTAGTAATGGAGGGGATGGGTAACCTAATCAACACAGCAAAGGCCAAGGATTGTATCAGAGGCTTGCACAACAGGGCAGGAAACAACTTAGAAATCACTCATCTACAGATGACACCTTAGTTTTTGTGAAGCAGTGAGGGAACGATTTCTGAGTTTAGCCATTTTCATAATTTTTTAAGTTGTTGCAGGCCGTCATATAAATTGGGGGAAAAGCTATATCTACCCATTAATGTAGTGGTACAAATTGAAGATCTGGCCATTACATTGGGGGACAAGTAGGGGAGCTACCCACCATCTACTTGGGCATGCCTTTAGGTGCAAAAAGTAAGTCAATGAGCATTTGGAGTGGAGTGATAGAGAAGTGTGAGAGAAAATTAGCAAATTGGAAAAGCCAATACTTATTTAGGGGGGGAGATTGACTATGATCAACAGTGTGCTGGATGCCCTACGTTACATGATGTTTGTTTTCCCAGCACCAGCTGGTGTGATAGAAGAGCCTTCTTTTGGCTAGGAAATGAAGATAAGAGGAAGTATCATCTTGTCAAATAGGAAGAAATGAACATAAGCAAGAAGATTGGGGGTGGGGGCATCAAAAACATGAAGTTTCAGAACCAAAGCCTAATGATGAAGTGGCTATGGAAGTTTGCATCTGCTGAGAACTCATTGTGGAAGGAAGTGATTTCTGCAAAATATGGAATGAGAGGTAACTGGATAACGACAGAGGTTTCCTCTCCATACAGATCTAGTGTATGGAGATCCATCAGTGATTTATGGGATCTGGTGCTAGAAAGATCATGCTGCAAGGCGGGAAATGGCAGAAAGGTGGCTTTCTGGAAGGACAGATGGTGTGGCCAGGTTTCACTAAGCCAAAGGTTTCCTGACCTCTGGAACCTATGTCAAATACAACTGTAGCAGAATTATGGAATGATGAGGGGTGGAATTTACACTTCAGGAGAAACTTAAATGATTAGGAGATGTGTAGAATAGCTGAGTTTCATGTCACCCTAGCACAATCTAGTAACCTGTCTGGGGGAGATGATATGGAAAGTGTGGAGCAAAGGGTGTTTCGCTGTTAACTCAGCCTATGAAGATCTCAATACAGCTGGCATTGAGGAAGTAGAATGGCCTTGGAAGATGATATTTTAAACTAAAGTACCCTATAAAGTAATGTTTTACTTGGTTGCTAGCTAAGGAGGCAGTTTTGACACATGAGAACTTGAACAAAAGAGGTTTTCACCTATGTTCCAGGTGCTTTTTGTGTGAAGAGCAAGGAGAGACAGTCAACCGTCTCTTCTTACACTGCAAGACTGCAAGTGAACAAACCAGCTGTGGCAAATGTTCACCAACATGAGAGAGATCAGATGGGTGAAATCAGGAAGGATCAAAGAGGTTTTGAAGTGCTGGAATAGGGATGGAAATGCAGGAAGAAAGGAGAAGAGATGGAAGATTGACCCATCTTGTATATGGTGGACAATATGGCTAGAGAGGAACAAGAGATGTTTTGAAGGAAAGCAGAGCAGCATAAAATGATTTAAATTTAATTGTTTAGCTCTGAATTATTTTTGGTGTAAACTAGTAGTCTTAGATAACTCAGAAGCAATCAACACAACTACAGACTGGTTGTAACTTGGTAGTATTAGGATCCTATGTAATTATAACACTTTTGGAAGGGAACTACACTTTTGAGGTAGTATACCTGTGGATAAATATAGACTAACAGTTACTTTTCTCAAAAAAAAAATTGTGGATAGTATGGAATGAAAGCAAAAAAATATTGAATACTAGTTTCTTTTTGTGTAATGAGACGAAATACCTACTAATATCAACGGCTGCAATAACTTGTTAGATAACCGTGGGTAGAGCCAATCATTATTTGTTTTACATACTTTGACTCCGGCTTAGTTCTATAATAATTAGTGTAATTTCTTATGAAGAACTCATCTATCATTTTTGAGCCATTATCAACCAAGAAAACTCCTAAGCCCCTATCCTAAACTTAAATAGTGCCCAATGAAAGAAGAAGCTACCAGGAAAAGTTACTGTTATTTCTTCTAAAAGATGAAAGACAAATCAAATTGGAAAAAAAAAGGCTCTTACATCACTAGCTTAAAAGAAAAAAAATTCTAATGCTTCTGCAAGATGATGGAAAATTAGCAGATTGCATGCCTTAGTTTTAAGATTAGCCAAGTGGAACGGACGATATCTTAAAATGGATGTGTACATAAACCAAGCCCTCATAGAATTACTAGTGAAACTCATGTTTTCTTTTTTCAGGTGGTTAAATGTAAAAACATATGTTTCTTTAATTAACTCCATGAATAAGCTCCAACACTGTTTAAGCATTTCACAGAATATGTGAAACTTGACCAATATAAACAGAGAAGTAACTGGGCGAAATTCAGAAGGCTCACAGTTATGCATCCACATTCTCTATATTCAAGGACATGCATGTGTCAATAATGATATACACTCCTTGCTCTACCTATCGTTGGAAGAGCACACAGCTGGGGAAACTAAAAGAAAAATGACTTAAGAAGCTAATTCTTTGAAGTACAGCAAGTCCAACCCCAATTTGGCTTAATTTAACAAGAAAAGGTAGCATCAAAGGAATAAAAACTCAGGGATAGAGTCTTTGATATATTTCATGAAGAAATAAAGAGGATTGGGACTGATCAAAAAAGAAAAGGAGGATTGGAATGGGGATAAAGGACTACACTGATAATAAGAAAGATAATGCAAGGTTGTGCAGACCAAAATTGCAGCATGAGTCAGCATATTTTTTAACAAGGAACGATATTCAGATACATAAAATGAATGGCATTCCAAGTTATCTTATCAATCTTTCAGATGAAGGCAAACCGGAGGCATACCCCCCCCCCCCCCAAAATGTCAGTATAGCAAGTACTTTGAGAACACAAAGCCTGTAAAGATGAATTTTGCCACCCGTAATTTATATTAGATGAATAGTAAGGAAAATAAGGAGTACAAGGTATAGACGATAAGGATACATATACATACACTTCATGTTGGCTGTGAACTGCAACGGTAGGAAATAATGGCCCTTTTACATCCTTGAAAACTGTTCCTACAACAGTTCCATTTTTCCTGCATTAAAAGAAATAGCACAAATTCTTGAGTCCAGATATTGTACTGCAAACAGTACTATTTTTAATAAACTCAACAAAAATCATCTAGCAATGTAACACAAGCACCTTTGTAAAAGAGGTAAAAAATAGATAAATTCTTACGTGAAAAAGAGTTCTTGAGAAGCATAATTGATGCCGCCACCAACAGTATCACCTGTTGAATAAGCTGGGCCAAATGCCTCTCCCTTTCCTTGTCCACGGTAAAGCAGTCCATCATCACCATGATATCCGTAACTGTTTGATTCCCAGCTGACAAACATAGAAAGATCAAAAATAAATTCCGAATGAAAAGTATTGAACGACAAAATGTCACTCCTCCAATGCAATCCTTTCAGTCTATGTCGCATAAACAAACAACTAATGAATTGGAGAAAAGACAAATGGTACCATGTTAGACTATTGGTATGTGCTAAGATTCATTATACATGTCTAGTTAACTACGTGAAATAGCTCTTATCTTTCCCACTCCGTCTAATTTGGCAAAGAACTCACGTAATATATAGTGGAGTGTCTTTTATTGTTGTGCAATAACTAAGAAACTTCCCTTATTTCATATAGTTTGAACTTTAAACACTAATAGAAAGAGTTCTCTATGTACTTTATCATCAATGTAGTAAGGGTTTAATCTCTTCTTTCTCTCATTCTCTTTTTTTTTTTGACAATGGTTAACAGTATATGCATCAAGGATACTTGCACAAGCTGTGGGGGTTCCCAGATCAAAAGGGTACAATAGAAGAAAAAAAAACTTCCTATATGTAATCTAGGACATCAAAGATAGATTTCATATTTTCTAGACATTCTTGTTTACACCAAAAATAGTAAAGCACAAAACACTTTATCATTAAATTCTGCATAGAGTTTCCTTTGTCTTCAAAGCATCTTTAGTTCCTTTCTTTCCATAGGGTCCACCAAATACATGTTGGGGACAATTCTCCATCTCTCTTTCTGACTGGATAGCCTTCCTACTCATTTCATATAGTGTGAAAGCGAAAGAGATAAAAGTCTTAGCGTCAGGTCATCCTGGAAATAGTTTTTTCTGGTCCAGAATTATTTTGTGCTCGTTGCGTCATAATTGTGCCCTTTCTTGTGGTCAAATCTCACGACACTTAAAATTGTCCCAAAAGAAGACTGGATTGGTCAAGGATCTCTTCAAAGTTTGTTTCCTGGACTTTATTCAATCAGTATGCATCCGGTTAGCAAAATCAGTGAGATGTGGTCTCAAGAAGGGTGGAATTTGGTATTTAGAAGGTTGTTAAATGACTGGGAGATAGAAGGGGTAATTGAACTACTGAATATGATTGAAGGCTTTCCAGGCACTAATTTGGAAACAGACAGTCTATTATGGAGACAACACCCAGATGGAAAATTCTCTGTCAACAGATTGTACAAATGGGGTCTATCAGTAACTAGAGGAAGGAAAACAGGGCCATGGAGTGTTGTTTGGAAGAGTGTGGCTCCCACTAAAGTGAAGTGTTTTGTCTGGCTGGTAGCTAGGAGAGCCTGTTTGACGCATGAAGCATTACAGAAAGGGGCATCAACATAGCCTCTAGATGCTTACTATGCAAAGAGGCACTGGAAACCAACAAACACTTATTTTTGCATTGCAAAGTAACAACACAAGTATGGGCTTTATTCTTCAATTTAGCTAGCATAAACTGGTGTATGCCAGAACACACAGCAGATTTATTGAGTTGTTGGATCAGAAGGGGGGGCAGCAAGAGTCAAAAGAAGTGGTGGAGGACAGTACCTGCTTGTATCTGGTGGAATATTTGGAAGGAAAGGAATCAGAGGATTTTTAAAGGAAAAGAATGCTCAATACAGAAGATTAAATGGAAAGTAATTACTTCCTTAGGTTTTTGGGGTAAAGAACAAAATATAGAAGAGGAAATCCAATTAGTTGATTTCGTAGGTTCTTAGTAAGTATTTCTGTTTCTTTTTTCTTCTTTTTTTCTCTCTTCTTTGTTAATACTTTTTGGAGGTGGCCAGCATAGCCCTTAATGCTGAGGAATACAAGTTACCCGTTTCAAAAAAAAAAAGCATGGTTGTTGAAACCAAAGCCAGAACACAGTTACACAAATGCCCTCATGCACCGCTGAAGTCTGTTTCCATTTTAGTACATTAAACCCATGATGTAAAAGTTGATTGGGGTTGCATCATGAAGAACGTCAGTGTTCACGCTAGTGCACTGCCAAATTAGTAGTACCACATCAATAATCTTGTCAATAAACCCAACATGTCATCATCACCCATACTGGGGAGTAGACCACTGCACCCTACCACATACAAGTATACAACTAGCTGGGGAAGCTTTTCGTCTTTTGAATCGAACAGAGTAAGTCGAATAGGCTTCATAGGAACTTTTGCTCTAAAGGAAAGAGAAGAACCAACCTTTCTAAATGTTGGATTGTTGGGTCATGAATAATAATAAGGTTCAATCACTGTCGAGCATCTACACATACTGTCACTTTTGCAGGAATCGACTAGTGTGATTGAAAAATTGGAGATATTAAAGAGGAACTTTCCATGGGAGGCAGGAGACAGGATGAGGAAACATCACTGAGTCACCGAGAGATTGCCACTTCCCCTAAAAGTAGGGAGGACATTGTGTGAAAGACCCTAAAGCGTTCAACAAAGCGTTGTTGGGGAAATAGCTGTAGATATTCTGATCTGAGAAGCACACTTTATTGAGCAACTAATAACAAGAAAGTATGAAACTGTGTACAGAGAAGTATGTACTAACCACACCACATTCAACTGTACTGACAGAAGAATATCATGAAGGAGTAGGAAGACTTTTACATTACATGTAGGGTCTGGAACAAAAAAAATAGCTTCTGTGACAAGCAAAAGATAACAGTACAGCAGATCCAGGGATCACAAGCAAGAGCTCTCTGGGGAATGAAGTTTAGGAGAAGTTTGAACAACTAGGAGGTAACCACATCCTGGAGTGTGTTGAAAATGCTTTATAAACAAAATTTATCACATAACAGCCAGGTTTGTGGAGGTGGGGTCGAGGAAAGGTGGATCATTTTCTTTTAAGTCGTACTATCATTAATTGTTTGTGAGGGGGAGGGTGAATCTACTACACTTGTTCTCCAGATGCCTAGAGTTTAAAAATATTTGTTTCTTCGCTTGGGTGGCAACAAGAGGAACGATTCTGGTAAGTAAGAACTTGAGAAAGAGGAGAGTTACATAAGTCAGCTTCGGTTGAAAATGTCAAAACATCTTTGTTACATCGTTTTTTACTTCTTTTTTTGCTTTAAGTTTGTTGGATAAAAGAAGTATTTTAGTCTTGTCAGCCAACAGAAAATGTAGAGAATTATAAAGAAACTTATTTTTCATTTTGTCAAATTTTATTTTATTTAATATTGGACAAAGATGAGCCTCAATGGAGCAACATGGACTCTGAGGGTGAAACTCCATGTCGTTGGCCCCAACTTGTTTGAGACTCTGGCATAGTTGTTGTTTAGATGGTAAAATCCAACCCCCCAAACTACGTATCAACAAGTACAGCACAGGTTGTTTCCCACTTTTGCTACACTGGTGACTCGAACACTAAATCTTGTTTTGCAGGTGAACAGTCCTTACAACTAGGCTATCCCTATCTTGTCAATGGACAACAGTAATTCTAAAATTATAGCAATTCACTAGTAACTCAAAAGCTGCTCTATATGTTAGAAGTTTCACCAATCAACCAGAGCTGTTGTCCAACTTCCCTAAACACATCAAGAGCCAAAAGGAGCTGAAGTTTGATCTACTTCACTAGCAGAAAAGTGCACGTCTTCTCTCACACAACCTTTATTATGAGATTGTTTACCCCCTTGATGTCCATTAATAAATTTATCTAAATCTCCAAGAAAGCTGGAAATCAGTGTTAAATTTGGTTAAGAATAGAGAGATTGCCACTTGACTGATCCTGTAGATTTTCTCACCCTCTATCTATTCCATCACACAAGAATCAAGCTATTGTGATTATAATTGAAATTAAAAGGTAAGAAAGATTAAGAAGTTAAAACAAGTAATTCTTTCATTTTCATAAAGGAGCTATTCAGTCTATATTACCCCCTCTATCCACAGAGGCGGACCCACCCTTGAGGGTGTGGGTGCATGTGCACCCGTTCACTTCGGAAAACTTTTTGTGCATATACACGTATATTCTGAAATAAGGAATATATAACTGAATGTGCACCCTAAGACATATAAGTTGAATTGGTGTAGTGGTCAAACACCTGGTCGTTGGCATCTTAGCAACTCGCTGGTCACGAGTTTGATTCTGCTTGTTGCATTTTCTTTTTGTCAATTTTAATTTTTTTCCAAAAAAGGCCTAATAAAAAACCTCAAGCGAGATTCGAACTAGCAATCTCAGAGTGTACACTAAGGGTCAATAGCATCAAATCATAGAGTGAATTATGTTAGATTTTTTTAATTTATATTTATATATACACTCGATTTTATACTTGTTTGACAATATTTTTCGATGAAGTGTCGTTGCTTCACTAACTCACATTCGACTTTAATAGTGCCCCCGCCGTCTTCAAATTCTGGGTTCACCTCTGTCTATCTATCCCGTCACACTTGAGCACAAGAACAAGCTTTGCGATTTAACATTGAAATAAGGTAAGAAAGACTATACCTTTAAAATAAAAGATGATAAAATAAAAGGAGCTATAATTACAATCAAAATTAAAGCCCAAGAAAGTAGAATTCCCAATTTGTCGCAATTTGAAGCCAATCCTTATTTGGCCTTAGTACCAGCCGGAAATCAGTGTTAAGTTTGGTTTAAAATAGAGAGACTGCCATCGACTGATCCCGTAGATTTTCATCCCCACCCCTAATCTATCCCATCACACTTCAGGACAAGAATCAAGTTCTTGTAATTGGGATTGATACTAAAAGATAAGAAAAACTAATAAAGTTAAAATCAGAAGATGGATTAAATTCTTTCACTTTCATAAAGGAGCTATATTTTCAGTCAATCTTACAATCAAATTCGAGTATAAGAACAAAAACAACACCCCCTCTACCTATCCCATCACACTTGAGTTCAAGAATCAAGCTTTGCAATTAGAATTGAAATTAAAGGTAACAAGAAGCTATAATTGAAGTCAAAAGAAAGTAGAATACCCAGGTTGTCGACGCAATTTGAACGCAGGAGTAGTAAACCCAATAGCAACTTGACCTTTAGTACCAGCATTTTCCACAAACATCTCAAAATAATAAACAAGTCTTTTACAAGGTGCAGCACGATTAGCTTGAACAACTCCAACATCATGTCCATGAAGATTCACATTTGGGTAACGCACAGAAAGTTTATCTGATCCAACAATCGAAAACCCACCAGAACTATTCAAAGTATCCAACTCCGTTGGCAACTCTTCTTCACACTCTTCTGAATCAATTTCCATCAAAAATTGATTTTCTGAAACACCCATTACTGATTCTGATTTTCTAACAGCGGCTTTGGATTTCAGTCTCCATTGTTCTAAGAAATAGGTACCGATTAGGTCATGGGTGTCGGAATTGGTATGAGAAAGCGAGAGAGTTAAGGATGAATCCATCAAAATAGTGAAAAACCCAGCTCCTAAAATGGATAAATTGAAGATATGGAAGAGGAATTTGGAGTAATTGAGATCGATTGAGAGGTTTTTCTGGTTCTTGAATGAAAGGGAAGGGAAAAGAGTAGCGTTTAGTGAGAGAGAAGATAGGATTAAGGGCTCGTTTGGTATTAGGGATAATGAATGGGTAATTAATCTCGATAATAATTGTAAGATGAGTTGTTCTGGGATTATAGTGATTTGTTATAATAATCATGAGATGACTTATTTCGAAATAACTTGATCTTTAATTCTAATTACACTAAAATATTTTATGCATCTTCATTGTTGATCAGTATGAAGAATAAGAGTGATTCAGTCTCAAATATAATTATAAAGTTACAATATATAAATAGACATTTAAATTTGATCGTAGTTAGGCAAATAAGCACTTTAACGTATTACCTTTGGACATCTCAACTCGTCTAGTACGAATGGTTTAAGCATCTAATCCACAAAACATCCGTCTTCCAACGCCGTTCATATTTGTAACCAACACTTAAGAGTTGTTTGATAATTGGTTAGAGTTATGCAGGTATTAGTAAGGCAAGATTAGTTATGAGTGAATTTATGTATTATTTTATGCAATATTATTTATTTCACATTTTGTCCTGCATAAAATAATGCATAAATTTCCTTATAACTTAAATATGTGTTAGTTATACAAATTTCTAACTTGTCAACTAAACGTCGTATTAATTTTACGCATGAATAACTTATTTTCTATCTACCTACCAAACATCGTATGAGTTACACGAAAAAATAATACACGAGTAACGTATTTCTTATCTAGCTACCAACTAATCCATAATTTGTTTATGGCATATATGGTTAGAAAGTTTTTAACCCAAATAGATACGAAGATACAGTAAATTAACACCAGCCTACAAGTAACCAATTTAGGATGAACACTTTGTTAGCCATATAGGATATTGTATTGTACCCTTGATAGATATGTGAAGTGTGGGGGAAAATAAAATCTTCACATTTCATCCAAATAAATGAAAAATTGCATAAAGCAAATGAATTAACAATGGAACCATTGAAAACTAAAAAGATTATCTTTGTACACATTAAATCTGGATTACTAAGAATTACTTTACAAAATGATTGCAAATCCAGAGAGAATCTATATGTTCCATCTATCAGGTTCTGCAAGTTATGCTCTAATATGTTTAGCCAATTTCAATTTCAATTTCAATTTCCTATGTTTCCATAAATTGAGAGGGTGGCGGGCTCGTTTTCGTCTTCTCTGTACCTGCATGATGTAGCATAGCAAATCTGCATCATTTGTGAAGAATAAATGTATGTAAAATGAGCCTAGTGCAACACATAGTGTTAATATATACGATGACATTTCATGTTTAGACTTCGTTAATACAGAAAAACAGCAGCACTCTAGTTGAAGGCATGAACACATATTACATATGGCATATGAAGTATGAGACTCCAGCAAAACATACCATTAGCCCCACGTATTTCCACTTCACGCAATTCTTGGACGAGAGCACAGCAACAGCACATTAAATGTGAAAGAAAATCATCTATGATGCCTCCCTAAAAAAGAAAAAATAATCAGCAGGGTGTCTATATTTCGACTTACTTTAACACCAGTTCATACATGGAGGTGCTTGTCCATCATTCAAATCCTATCAAGGGATACAACATGACGAACAAAAAGAACATTCAGAAGCATTTATTCATCTATTTCTGCATGGAGAGGATTTTTCTTTCCCTGTGAAGGGCTTGTGAAAAGTATTTGCAAGTTTATTTATCATTTTAGGGATATTACATTTGCGATCTTGTTCTAATTTTGGGACTAATATTTAGCTGTGCGAGATAGGGTATTTACCGTGATGTTTAGCTTTTGCCGAAGTTTCTTTCTGATGCAGCAAGTGTAACAGCAGCAGGACAGTATCAACGAGTAAGCCATTAATTCATTACAAGCGTCCGCTGAAGCTGCATCCAAATGGTATCAACAGTGAATAAACATAAAAGGAAAAATGGCATGTGGATACTGTTACAAATACATTCCACATAGTTGTTTTTCCTACAGAATAGGCTTGAACTACGTCAACCACAACCTTAAGTACCCAAAATTGTCGCATGCAATTATCTTGTTTTTCCTAGGTGGTGATAACAAACAAAAAACCTCTGCTACCATGATTGTCGAATTGTGTCAAATGTCTAATGTAAAATAGTAAAATGTTAGAGATACTTTTTTTAAATAGCTGGGGAAGGGGAAGGGCAAATGGGGAGGGGATTACAAGGTGCGGAATCAAACACTCACCAACAAGGTGGAGTTTAGGTAGCCAACCAACTAAGCTACTAAGATTCCCCAAAAAAAATGTTAGAAATACAACACTTTTACATATTTATTTTAGTCCTATGGCATGTTCAGGAATCAGGATGCACAATGTCCTACATCAGTTATGTAAAGGTTTTCAAATAGCTTTATGGGCTTAAGAGTACTATGTTCTTTTGAAAATTAGTTTGCTCTTGGAAACAACAAAGAAACACAATCTAAAAAGGTGGCTATGCTAATGCAAAGATGGATTTCCCAGTTCTCCAACATCTCCTAAATAGTAATTAGTCAAATTAACAACAAAACAAAGTATGTGTTCTTGCAGTGTACAACACTTCAACTGCTAGTTCTGAATCTAATATAGTAACTTGCAAAAATAAAGGATGTTACTACTTTGACCATTTTATTCATTTCTGGAAAATAAAGAAAAGAAGATTGATACCGATTAACAAAAACTGTACATTTTTATCACCCGTGACAGGACAAGAAAATTTCAGGTAGACTATAAAGTTACTTACATATGTCTCTGTTGGCTGCAAAACTGGCAACTTTAGAAAATGTACCACAAGGAAAGAAAAAGGTTTTAATGCCTGCAAAGTAAAGTGACACGACTGTTACCTTCCTAAAAAAGTAAAGAGACACTATTAACAACTATGATATATTGACATTGGACGAAAATATAATGATAGTCTCCAGGGATGGATAACAACTATTTTCCTAATTACTTAGATACAAAAGAGCAAAAACAAAATAAACCAAAATGAATTGGCTTGAACAAGAAGGATGATATGTTCAGATGGCAAATTAATCTTCCTTTGGAGTAAAGAATTGCTCATTAGCACAATCATCCTCCCAGCCAATATAGTCTTGAACAAACTTCTACACCAAAAATCAGAAAATAGGACAGTAAATTTATGAAAATGAAAACAAACAAGTCAGGCAATCAACTAATTTCAGGATTCTCCTAAATTTAGAGGTATGTGAAACGATAGAACACAGACAACAGTGAAGTACGTGGATACATAATGTGTTTATGCTTTAGTAACAATAGCAAAAAGAGCAGTAATAATTAATAATAGGACAAAGTTATTAACAAAAAGTAAAGCCAATTGTACTTCAGTATCCTATTTCAGCCATTGGAATCCCTCTAGCCTTGGTCAGCTAGAATAGAAATGATGTCTCTAACAAGAATGACACAAACAACATCCAAACTTAAATTAGTTCTTTCTGAGGAGTAAATGCATCTGTTATTGACAACTTGAGCATGATTTAAATCTAAAGTAGTGATACACACAAACATATCTAGTAACAATTTAACTTTAAACTTTCCCATTTTACCCTTAATGAGATTATTATAGCCACACAAATATCTATGACTTATTTTAGACTACAAGTTTCAAAGGTCTTTCTTTCATTCAAACTCAATGCCCAATCGAATATCATCGCATAAACTGGGATGGAAGGAGTATTAGTTTAGCATTGAGCTTTCTGAATATCTATCCAACTACCAAAACGGCTATATAGTAGTAATGTTGTCTCTGCACCAAAGTACTAATGAAAAATAAATAGTGCTTCTGATCCTCCCCCCCAGTTTCTCCACCAAAAAGTATCCTTTTGTTCCTTTCAACTCAAATCATCCAAGAAAAGCATATGAGCTAGAGTTAGATAGGCGAAACATCAGCTCATGATTAAACTCTTTAGTTTATGAATATTGAAACAGTGAGTATATCATTCCTTTTGATCAATAATAACACAATATTTCCTCAAATCACACGCAAAATTGGACAAGTTAATAGAAGTACATGAACACATGAAATGAAGTTGTCTGCACAAAATTTGCTATTCTGGACATTTCACATCTTCATGTATGAATATTTATCAATAAATTTTAATTTAAGAAGCTGTGTATCTTTCCTTTCAGCAGAATTAGATTATTAAAAAGAACAGATGAAACAAAGTAATGCAACAAAAAGAATAGTAAAGCAAGGATGTAGTTAAATGTACATAGGAGAGGTTCTGAACAGCATCCCAACAGATCTGTATGCCACTCTTCATATCGATATGAACCCTTTGAAGACAGCAGTTCACGTTGTGATGAAACTGAAGAAGTGTTTCTGCAGATAAATATACATAAAAATGAAAATGGTTGAGACTATAGGTACTAAACTCTCATCAGTGTTATGACTCCCTCCACATTTTATGAGAAGATCACTACTGTTTGTAAAGAACGGCTACCTTGAAGTTGACTGTTTCTCATCACTTTTAATATAACTTTTATCACTGTGTTCCTTGTCACTATTGGCATCTGAGTGACTATGCTCCAATTTTTTGGTAGGCTCGGTGGGTGAACTCTTCTCGGAAAGAGACTCAGCTGCAACTACCTCTGTGACATCGAGAAGATGCTGAATGAATTCACACTGATTTACATCTAAATTAGCTTGTGAACGTTGCAGTTCTAGCTGAAGCTTTTCATTCTCCTTCTGAATTGCCTCAGTGATAGGCATGCTTGGGTAGGAACGGGAAAGGGTCTTCTTTAACACTATTGTATCATGTTTAGAGGGATCTCGTTTTAAAATGACTTCTTGCACCTTCATGTCTTCAGCCTCCAAAGTATATTCACACTGGTCCTTCTCAATGATTTCAAATCTCTCCTGCCAAAATATGTAACACAAAGATTTATCAACTTTGAAGGTAGATATAGATACCGATGATGCACCAATTGTACATGTCTAATTAATTAAGCCATAACACAGGTTACCCCTTCAAATTCTGAGCAGTAATGGGCAAAACAAGGTAGACACATACTTGAACGGATATATTAGAAGACAAGCAAAATATCTGAGCAGATTACTCTAATTGTGATGATGCGTCTTTCTTAGAAATACAAAATCTCTCTCATGCTAAAACTTGGTAACAGTGGATGTACAGAAAGAAATAAGACAATACTGGCCCTTCATTGCAACAGACACAAAACTGCTTCACTATTTTAAAATGCTAAAGGGTTTGCTCTCTAATTCTTGTTCTTGGAAGAGATGAGCTATTAGGAGAGAGCTTTTTAATGACAGATGACAGTGGTCTCAGGGCCAACTTGCACGCACCTCAACTATTCCACTAGATACCTTCTACCTCTCACCAGTACAAGTACCGAGTAACTCCGTCAACCAAAGAATAACCCTATATTTAATTGCTAGGATTTGAACCTTGGTTTCCATGGTTTGCACCACTTCATTGCCCTAGACCATTAGGCCACACCCTTGGGTGTTGGAAGAGATTAGTTATCCAGATAGACATTCTTTTTACGAACTACTTTTTTCATTACTATAGTAACCGATCTTAGAATACTGTATAACAGAGAGATAATTTAGTTAGTTCATAAAAATTAGTCTATAACGTCCTAGTCCTCGACTTTAGTTCATGACCTGTAAAGTGGAGACAAGAGAATAAGAGTGTGTAACCCAGTGGAATGCAGAGGTAGAAGTTATCAAAAATCACGTGACAGCAGATTACTATGAATTCCAACTCTAGACTGTTGTGCTTCACTGGAGCTACCTTGTTCCTTAAAACTGCTTGATACTAATGTCTTGCGGTTTTTGTCCATCATCTGGTACCTTGAACTAGACCACATCACTCACACATGACACACCTCATAATCTTATGCAAAATGAACAAGTTATCAGAGCCATCTATCTTGCAGGAACCAAAATGTTTAAGAAACTTTCATGCACTAATTTCTGTCCTAATTGATCGCACTTTACTTTGACAGGTAAGCTAATGTAAGAATATATTCTAATTACTTTTGACAGGTGTTGGTATTTGGCTTCATGATGCTAATACATTGGCGTCTTTTACACGTGTTACAGCATACAGCAAGGATTTTATTCTTCCGCACATTCTTTAACGAAAACGAATCTACTTAGCATCAGAATACAAGGATTTGAATAGCAATTAAAATCCTTGTGAGATATTATGATAGGATATACATGCAATATTAGCAGGAAAGAAAAGCCTCATATTATAGTTTTGGGTATAAGACCAACATCAAATGATGCAATACCGGACAAATAGTTCCAATTTTATATCATGAATTGATGACTACCTAACAAACTTAATATATAAGTAAGAACAACTACATAGGTGTGGATGGATTACGAATGAAATAAATAGAATATGAAGACATGTAACTTGAATCCCTGATGCTATGGATAAAGAGCAAAGTTTCAGTACCCTGACTCGAGCATTATCCACAAGCGTGATGAGAGGAATGATCTTCAAATACTGGTCAATCTCATTCTGAGCCTTCCGGAACTGGTAGACAATGTTCCATCCCATAGCCAACAGATAAAGATAGCTCCGATCCTGGCAGCTGTTGACCAAAATGTAAGACCTCCTTAATGCATCTTCAAGATATTCCAATGGCTCGGAGGTTTCAGGATACTTCTTGAGTTCTGTAATTCTAAGCTGCTCCAATAAATTACCAATTAATTTGAGATGCTGCGCAAACTGCCTGCAATTCTTCTTGTGCATTCGAGCTGTGCTTGCAGCTTTTACAATCAAACCAATTAGCTTCACAGCATCAAGGCCAGCAAGCTGGGCACCATTTGCAATTTCCCCGAAGTGTTCCCATGTAGCCATTCTCAATCACAGATTATTCCGTCAACACCCTATATAGATTCAACTACAAGCACATGCCCATATCAAAAGAATGACCATAAATGAACAGCAGCTCACTCAAAACTCTTAATGTTTTAAACTAGTAGACTTTCCCCAGCTTAATCTTTTTCTTTTCTTAGACAAGTTGATAACTAAATTATCCTATGTTTATTGATTGTATCAGGCAATCCAATGAATCAGTCAATGTGAGTTCAACTGACCCAGACACTACCGCCATTCAAAAAATGGACGAGAAATAGATGATCCGCCTGCGATGTCCTCTCAACAGCTCCCACATAGTCAGCTTAACAACAGATCTTGCAATTACAGATTTTCAATGAAGATCCTGATCAGCTGAAATTAAGTTCAAAAATGAGTCAACCAGCTTTCAAAGACAGTCCATACTCCATAAAGCCTCTCATTTTCCATTTTCAACAAAGAGATAAAAGGCGAAAAGGAAGCAAAAACAATAAAGCAAAAGAAAATGTTTGACTCGACACTTTATCCCAACAACAAAATGGATTAGCAAGAAACAGTATTCAACATAAAAATCATTAAAATTCCAAAAGTGTTACCTGAATCAACGGTGATACTGCCGTCACCTCACTGTACTCCACTGGAATTTCAACTCATCATATGACAGCAGATATCTACCTGATATACTGTACAACAATTAATTCTTTGTCATAATACATGAAACAAATTGAGGTGTGTGCATATTTATTTATTTTTAAAAAAAACATAGTAGTATTATTTTACAAAAAATATATTATTATTTTTACAAATAATATACGCCAATTCTATACTATAAGCACACTTTCTTTGGCAAGAAAATAGAAACCCAGATGAATCTTTGCAAAATGGTGCACGGAAAAATCCGCCGGAGCTAAAAATACGTAAAATTGAGAGCAAAAGAACTTGGTTTTCTGTAAAATCACAACCTTACAAGCATTGATTTGCGGGAAGCAAGTTTTTTTGGCAGGAAAATAGAAAACCCAAATGAGACTTTGGAAATGGTGGCCAGAAAAATCCGTCAGAGCTAAAGAACATAGATTTCTGGAAAATTACATCCTTATAAGCATTGATTTGAGGGAAGCAAATTTTTATGGCAGGAAAATAGAAACCCAAATGAGTCTTTCGAAAAATGGTGCACACAAAAACTCGCCGGAGCTAAAAATTACATAAAATTGCGAGCAAAAGGACATAGATTTCTGTGAAATCACAACCTTAGAGAGACATTGAATTGAGGGAAACACCTTCTGGATTTGTAATTTTCTGGAACTTTTCCAAGTTACAGTGACCCCAAATCTCTGACTCTGAACCAGAGAAAAGAAGAGAGAGAATGTGTGTGAGAGAGAGAAAGAAGGGTCACTGGCTTCGGTGTTGTTTGTATGGGAGCTCCGGTTTGCTGCACTATACAAACAGAGAGAGAGCAGAGTTCACAATTTGGATTTCAGTGGAAACAACACTACAATGTCAGAATGACAGTAAAGCAAATTTGGTCTTTTACTTTCTTTTCTTCTTTTTTTTGGGTCCAACTCCGATATTCATATTAAAGTTCGATTATTTCCAATTCGTTTCAACAAAGCCTAACTATCAAGAATTTTCTCATTCCGATATTCATATTGAAGTTCAATTATTTCAAATATGTTTCGACAAAGCGCTATATAATAAATTATCATTTTATTTATAGTTTCTTAAAAATTGTGCAAAGTCAATAGTGAACAACTAGGGGTGTTCACGATTTGGATAAAAATCAATCCAAACCGATTTTATTTGGGTTTGATTTGGTATTAGATTTTTAAAAATCGAAAAAAATTGAGTTGGTTATGATTTTGTTCGGAAAAAAAAACAAAGAAATAACCGAACCAAACCGAGAAATTATATACATATATGAGTCATTGTCTCTTCCTTCTAGGCCAAAATAATGAATTTTGAAGCTTTATTTGTAGTAAATTCAATAATCGAAAGTTATGTAATGTGAAACATTCTAACTATTTTTCATTTGAATGGATTGTTGTCACTTTTTCACGTTTTAAATGAATTGTTTCTTTTATTTTTGTATATGGTTAATAACCGAATCAAACCGAATCAAAAACCAATAACAATCAAACCGATAAATATATTATATTTAGTTTGGTTTTGTTTTGATAATTTTAAAACCGATTTAGTTGATTTGGTTTTGGTTTTAACCAATAACCGATCCAAACTGACTCATGAACACCTCTATGGACAACTATTATTAGACCAAGAAAGTATAATTAGAGTAGTAATTTTAATATTGATCCTTGCATAACATATTTAAAATAAAAAAAAAGACCCAAAACTAAAAGCTTATGCATGAGCTGTAAAGTGTTTAGGCAATTAGGTCTTGGGGATGGGTAAATTAAGAAGGGATTTGACTTTTAATTGTAGTAATTAATTAAAAGAACAGCTAAGTCATAGTACTAAACATTTTGCAGCCAATGAATGTGCCTCTAATTTAATTTATTGCTTATATATGATAGGTGTATGTGTGCAAAACTTTACCCGCATTCGATACTTAAAGAAAGAATAATTGATATCATCCTAAGTAAGCGTTTGGCTATGCGATATCACATCAGGATATGAAATCGTGAGATAGAATTAGCGTTTAGACATGCGATTTTACATTGATTCCATATCATGAGATGTGATTTCATATTCTCCAAAAACCATGATATGGAATTTCATATCATGATTTGAGATATTTTTAATACAAAAATTGATCCACAAGTTTATATTTTGTTAAAACAACCCCACATTTATATCTACTAACTATTTATTTTATATGTAAATAAAATTTATAATGACATCATTACTTTTAAAATTTTATTATTCTCATCGACATAAAATTTATTATTCTCACCAACATATAGTCATTTTGATATGAATATACCATATATCTTATGAATATACCATATATCTATTAATTAGATATGAATACTTGATATGAGCAAGTTTTTAGAGTGTAAGAGTACACGTTCCGTCAATTTTCTCTCATTCATTTTTTTCTGGTTATTTGTTACTACAAAATTAGGGATGTATTTAACGATAGGCAAGACTTTTTGAGAATTTAATAACTTTTTCGTAAATACGATATTTATATCACAGCTGCTAAAGTCAAATTGCCCCTCTTAATTTGAATTCAAATCTCCTTAATTTCACCTACCTACAAATCAATAGTTGAAAAACATATAATCTATACACTTAATCGTAAAAATCATGTGAATGAATATATCACATAGTTTATATTTTTGCCTTCTTTGAAAAAGATGATGAAATGTATAATGAGTGTAAATTAATTTGAGGTAGCAAATTTTCTTGACATATTATCCTGTTGAGATATGGAAGGGTAAGGTTTGTAGGGTCATAAAAAAAAAACAATATTATGCCTCCAAATTTATTTATTAAAAATAAATAGATATAAGTGAATGTGGTCGAATGATTTTTTTTTAAAAAAATCATTTGTAAAAGAATTTTGGCTTAATTTAAGCAAACAACTAAAGAACAAATAAGGAGGATCATGTTTTTTTATTTCTAATAAAAAGAACATCCAATTTATATTGTGTATGTGTTATCAAATTTTACAAAAGACATAATTATTAAATTATTTTATTTATTTATTTTAATTTTAATAAGTAAAATTATTTGATACCTATTATTGATAAAAGATAATAAAATTTGTATAAATTTAATCGAAATAATAAAAACTGACTTAAACAATGCAATCATGCAGGAAAAAAAAAAGAAGGGAAAAGGCATAACCCCCCCCCCCCCACCCTCCCCGGAACTTGTTTAAAAAATTACTTACACGTTTAAATTATGGGAAAATTGTATATAATAGCAAATTACTAATTCAAATTAAATGTTATAAATATAGTTTGGTTTAATTGTATCCCACAACAAACTGTTGCTATTTCGCCTTTCTCCAGGTGAATCTCGCTCGCCACTCTCGTTCTCTCCCTTGCCTCTCTCGTTTTTTATACAAACGCAAGTGTATAAAATGTGTTTCTGTTTGTATAAAGCGAGAGAAAATTGTATATATACATATATTTTTGTTCCCCTCTCTCCCCCCTTCTCAGATCTAGCTCGCCACTCTTCTAGATCTCACCCGCTCACTCGCCTCTCTCACTTTATACAAAACGCAAATGTATAAAATGTGTTTGTGTTTGTATAAAGCGAGAGAAAATTGTATATATACATATATTTTCGTTCCCCTCTCCCAGATCCCTCGCACACTCGCCTCTCTCACTTTATACAAAAACGTAAATGTATAAATTGCGCTTCTGTTTGTATAAAGCGAGAGAAAATTGTATATACACATGCAAATACATATATCTTCGTCCTATACACTTATAATTATACAATACAAATATTTCCCTGCCCTGTTTTTATTTGTCTTTCTCTCTTTTTCATTTTATCCATACACATATTATACAATTGATCTTTTGTATACAACTGAACTGTTTTTTTTTGTATATGTATAGCAAATTATACATATATATGTTTGCTATGGAGCGCAATTATGCAAACTTTGTTATAGCATACAAATATGAATTTTGTGTTTGCTATATGTGAAAGTTGCTCTTAAATTATCATGACGATACTCACTCAATCTTGTTTAAAGTGATATTAATACCACCTTCCGAAGATAATCTTAGTTTTGTGTGAGAATGAGTTATACATGCGTTTTGACACGTAAATAATATTATTTTAATTTTTTAAAACATTTTTTCCTTAATATTTTCTTAGACTTTCGCAAAAAGTAGAAACCTCTCACCATACATATCTTTCTTCTTAAAATCTATTTCTTCTTTCTTCTTCATTATTCATAAATTGAAGGGAAAACAAGAAATTTGAAGAGAGAACAAGAGACAATAAGAAGATTATGAAGTTTAGTGATGTTGGTGGTGGCGATAGGTAGTGGGAAACACCATTGTTGCTGGTAAAACAAATAAAACCTTTTAAGTTTGTAATTTTTTTAAAAAATATATGGTAATTATAGATGAAAATCAAGCATTTCAAGATTAGTATTCTTTGTGTGTAAAATCAAATATGCTATTGATGGCTAGAGACAAAAATAACATTGTGATGGTTGTAGGTGGTGCGTTGATGAGAATAAAGAAGACAATACAAAGATAGAAAATTACTTTTTTCGATGGATTTTTGAAAAAATTGGGCAATGTAATCATGAATTTTATGCATAATGTCATATGATTTTCAATAGAAGTCATTATATTTCTCATATTTTTTTCCAGTGATCTTCTCTGGTGAATCCTCTAGCGAGTTCAAGTAAAAATCATGAACTTTAAGTTAAAATTATCAACTTTCCGGTGGAAATCAACATCTTCTCCACTATCTTTTATTTATTTTTAGAGTTTCTTTTTAAAGTAGAGTGATGGACATGTTTATATGAGGATAAATTGAAGAAATCATCAATGGTGATTAAGAACTGTTAAAGAAGAAGAACTCAAAAAAAAATTAAAAAAAATGTAAAAGCTTTAAAGAAATTGGGGTCACCAATTAAAAGATAAAAAGGAAAAAAATGGCATAATTAATATATTAGAAATTATAATACTTAATTGTATAATGACAATAAAATAATGCCATGTGTTTAAATTTGTCATTTTAACATAAATTT